CTGCTGAGCAAGCCTGGGGGGCCTGTGGCTGGGGAGGGGAGTCCTGGGTCAAGGAGGGCGAGGGTCTGCCTGCAGTCCTGCTCTTTCCTGACCCAACTTCCTCTCAGAGCCAGCAGCCTGGCCTGGACTCTGAGGCTGTTGGGAGAGGAGAGGATTTGCTCAGGCATGAAATTCTGTAGCCTGCGAAGTGGACAGGGTGGACTCGGGCCACATGGGTAGTCCAGGTGGGAGGAAAGGGTTCCCACAACCCCCACTGGGACCAGCTTTGCTCTAACGCTGACTCAGTCTGTAAAACAGGGTGATGGCCTTGGTGCCGCCTTCCTGGGGCTTGGGTGTGCCAGCCACCCTGCTTTGTCACTTTGTGGGGACCCTGGGGCTTGGGTGTGCCCGGTCCTTGCCCAGCAGCAGTGTCTGTGCTGAGCTGTGCAGGCAGCCTCATTCAGGTGGCTAGCGAGCCAAGATGTGAACTCAGTCCTGGAGAGAGGCCCCAGCCGACAGCAGAACTGCTGGTAGCTGAGAAGGTAGGGCCTCCCAGAATGTGGGCCCCCCGAAGTATGGTCCACCTGGACCCTGCTCCTGCCCTAGAGCTGCCATAGAAGCTTCTGGAGACCCTGAGGCTTTGGGCTCCTGCTGGCTTCGATCTGGTCCTGGGAGGGGTAGGCTACTCGAGGTGACTTGACCCTGGGCCCGGGGTGGGAAGCGATGGGTGGGGCCTGGGATGCAGGTGTTTAGACACACTGGCCCTGGGTTGCCATGGGCATCCAGACCCAGTCTTCCTGGGGTCCTTCTGGCCCGGGCCTACAGGGGACAGGTAAAGGAGTTGTCTCTGATGAGGGGCAGCTCCTTCACCTTTCAGCTCCTGAAGGGCTGATGGCATGCTCTGCTACCCGCCTGGGCCTGACAACCTCTACCATGTTCTTCGGGGTCACTGGGCCCAGCTCGGTCGGGCTCAAGTCCCGCTGGTGGCCAGGCAGCAGGGCCCCGCTGATGTGCCTCCTGCCCGTAGATGAAGATCTCCTTCAATGACAAGCGCCTGCAGACCACGTTTGAGTACCCTCCTGAGAGCTCCCTGGTGCAGGAGGAGGAGGCTGAGGCCCAGGAAGGGGTGGAGGAGGACGAGGAAGAGGAGGAGGAGTCCAGCTCAGATGGGGTGGTGGAGAAGCCCTTTGTGCTCTTCCTGCCCCGAGCCACTTTTGTGAACAGTGTGGGGCCTGAGAGCCCTCGCCTGCCGGACGGCAGCTCAGGTGAGTGCCCGCCTGTTGGAACGGGTAGCCCAGTGGGTCGCCCGGGCCACACATCCACACGTGTGCCTCTCGGCCCGCAGGCCTGTCCAGCTACACTCCAAAGCACTCCATGACCTTCGGTAAATGGCAGGGGCAGACGCTGGAGCAGGCTCCAAGTGAGGGAGAGCCCGCACCAAAGGAGGTCATGGTGAGCAGGGGTGGGACTAGGAGGGCAGACATGGGACAGGGTGGATGGGGTGGGTCTCTAATGCCTGGATGAGCCCCATCCACTCCCTCCGTGTCCCTCTCTCTCAGCTCACCCCTGCCAGTCAGAATGACTTCTCAGACTTCCGCAGCGAGCCAGCTCTCTATTTCTGACTGCGGCCCTGCCAGGATGGCCAAGGCTGAGCCCTGGGAGCCGGGCAGTGCCCAGGAGCCCTGCCCTCATTCTGCACCCCCCTTCTGCCCTGCCAGGCTCTGCCCTGCCATATCCCACCCTCCCTTCCTGGGGCCTCACAGCTGTGCTGGTGCTCAGCCTGAGCCTAGGGCCCTGGGGGCTCCTGCCTCCCCTGGGGCTAAGTCTTGCTCTCCAGCCCTGATCTGGGGGCACTGCCTGTGGAGGACGGACAGGGTCCTGCTGGACACCATGCCCGGCAGCTGTCCGATGTGTGTGAAGGGCCAGCTTGGCTGCCTGTCCTCTGTGGGGCTTCAAGCCATTCCCAGCCCGCACCCCCCAATAGCAGACCTCAACCCGCCCACCCTCTTTGTGATGAAATGGCAAGTCTTGCGTTTGATGATGGATTCAATAAATAGCACTGGACAAGGCCACTTCTGCCTTACCGTGTGGTCCTTGGCCGGAGAAGCAGGGAGCAGGGCTGGGCCTGGGGGGCTCCCCCGAGGCCCTGGCAGCAGGGAGGAGGGTACGTGGGAGCCTGGCTAGGACGTCTGTGCCCAGGTATAGGGGTGGCCGTGTGTGGCACCCCCACACATTGCAACCACATTGTGGTCCAGGCGTTCACTCCCTACCACCCCCTTGTCTGGGAGAGGGACCTTCCTGCGAGCACTTCTGGCCTTTGGGGCCGCCCCCTCCCAACCAGGGCTGACATAGTGGGAGCTGTGGTGGGAGGGGCACTTCAGGCTTGCTCTGGGGTCTGGCACTCTGGCAGGATGGGAGTGCTTGGGAGGGGATGAGGAGCGGGCAGGGGCTGGGCAGAGCCTCCTGTGTGGCTCAGAAAGCTACCTGACCCACAGGAACCTGCAGCAAGGTTGTAGCAGGCAGACCACTTCCCTGGGGTCGGTGCTAGCAGCTGGCAGGCAGACCCAGCAGATCCCGAGCAGTGATGGGAGATGCAGAGCCGCCTGCTCAGCAGCAGCCTGGAGCTGGGGAGCTGGGGCTGTTTACGGTCCAGGCACTGAACACAAGTGTATCCCCCCTGAAGAGTCAAGCCCATGAGGAATGCTGCCTGGCCAAGCTTGGGAAGGAGGAGGGTGTTTTTAGTGTTTTCCTGGGCGGGGTGGGCCCGGGTTTTTCCAGACCCTCTCAAGCAATACATGCTTCCCAAACCTGCCTAACCCCTCCAAGCAGTAGTCGTAGGGACCCCATAGGGGCTGACAGGCCAGCAGATGGTCGCAGAGAGGACTCGGGATGGAGGACTGGGCCCCAGGCAGTGTGGAAGGCTGGAAGCGTGCGTACTTGGTGTGACCAGGGACAGTGGGAAGCAGCGGAGCCACTGGGCTAAGTTCAGAATCCTGGAGCTGGGGGGTGGCAGCCCTGTCTGGAGGCCCTGTGCCAAGAGCGCGTCTCCCTGGGCCAGAACTTGTGCTGGTCACAGGGCATGACACAGACCAGGACCAACAGACAGACCACCTCCCAAAGGGAAGCCTAAGTGGAGTTGGGGAAGAGGGGCCAGCAGCCCTGGTGGGGAGAAAGAGTGGGTGACAAGGTCACAGGAAATGCTCAAGGGTATCCTCAACTCTGTCTTCAAAGCCAACAGGTCTTGTTATGGGAAAAGCCGCTCCAGGCTTTCCTCTCCCGAGGAGGAGCCGTACCACAGCTGGGCAGGGGCTCATATCGATTCTGGGGGTGTCCGGCAGTCCTACACTCAAAACACAGACCACAGGCAGTAGCGTATCTTTACAAAGACAATCTTTATTGACAGTCATAGGCTACCAAGCCAAGCTCCAAGGTGGAGGGCCCCAGCCCCTCGCCCACTCCCCTGGCCTGGGCACCATGGTGAGCGCACTGCCATGGTGCTGAGACTAGGGAGCAGGGTTTACTGGCAGCACAGGGGGATGTGGGGTCCTCAGGCCCTGAGCAGGAGTGACCCAGAGCCTGGCCAAACCAAATCCTGCAGGGCCAGGACCCCTACCTGGTGGGCTGTGCCCAGGGCTGTCCTCATCACCTGGGGCGGGTGGAGCTTGGCAACGGTCTCTTGGTACCCAAGACAGTGAAAGGAGGCAGCTGCTACCGTGAAGAGCAAAGACACGTAAAAGACAGATTGTCAGAGGCCCAGCCATTGACGGGTTCGGGGGGGGGGGGGCAGGCCCCTCCGGCCTACGGCCGGTCAGCTGTCCTTGCCCCCACCGCCGCTCTTCTGCTCTGAGGCTGTGGCCTTGGTCAAGTTCCCAGCCTCCCTCTTCAGGACACTGAGCAGAGTCTGCGAGCTCTCCAGGATCTGCAAACAGACGTGTGGTGGTCACCACCGTTCCACCGTCAGGAAGCTCCCACCAGGCCAGCGCCAGCCCCTGGGGCAGAAGCACGGAGAGAAAGCCCCTGAGGGGAGGGTCGGACAGGGTCAGCAGGGCCCCTTTCCCCTGAGTCTAGCCCAGAGGCCCGTCCTCGCACCCTGGGAAGCCAGGCTAGGTTAGCTCCGGCCAGCCGGCATGCAGCCCCCGCCCACCCCGCCAGGTGCCGCGAGCCCCACCTTTAGGTAGGCGGCCTCTGTCTCCGCGATGGTCCGGTCAAACTCGTTGCGAGAGGCAATCTTGCGCGCCAGGTTCTCATTGACTCGAGCCAGTTTCTCCGTCAGCTGCCTCACCTCATTCTGCAGCCGCTGCTTCTCATCCTCCTCCTGCTGGATCTGCCGACACAGCTCCTCTCGCTTCTGGCACAACTCCTCGATGCCTGGGGGAGGGCCGAGTGCAGGGCAGGCGCTGTGGACCCAGGCAGGGCAGGAAGGAGCGCAGCACCCCTCCCACTCTGGAGCCCACCGCCTGCTACGAGAGAAGCGTGCTGGAGGGCCCAGTGCTGGCCGGGCCACCTTCCACCCGAGCCAGGCTGGTGTCCCACCTCCCAGGGGCTCTAGGGTCAAGGAAAGCCCAGCACCAGACCCTCGGGCGTGCGCCGGGAGGCAGTGCGCGCTCCAGCGGTCCGTTCTTGCGCTCGCTCCGCAGACACCCAGCGCCAGGTGTGCGGCACGGCGGCTGTGCGCCGGGCACGCCCGCACGGCCTCCGGTGCCGTCCGAGCCGAGACCCCCACGCACGGACCATGCACCCCGCTCGGCCACGCGCGGCGGGCCCGCTACCGCCTGGGCCTGCAAGCCGGCGAGCCCCGCGCCCTCCCAGCCCGCCCGGTGGACCCCGCCGCGCGGTCGCTCACACTTAACCAGCTCGTTGTTGTAATTCTGCAGCGCCGCGCCCTGCTGGGTCATGGTCGCCGCCGGGGCCGCGACCGCTCCAACCGCCGCTACCGCATCGCCGCTCGCGCCTGCGCGCTGCCTTGGGACAGCGCGCTCTCCGACACGTCACCGCCGCGCGCCTCTCGTGTGCGTCATCGCGGCGCGCCGCGCCCGGTGGGTCTGGGAAGCTAGGGGGCCGCACGGATGGCGGCGGCGGTGCGCGACGGCGACCCCGGGCCTGCACAGGAGCTGTTGGTGGCCTGGAATACCGTGAGCACCGGGCTGGTGCCGCCGGCCGCTTTGGGACTGGTGAGGCCCCGGGAGAGGGCGGCGGGCCCGCGCGGGGCCCCCGGGACGTCCACCCTGGGGTTCGTTCGGCTCCCTGGGCAACCTAGCGTCGGTTGCAGCTTCCCCTCCGCTCCGTCCCTTCCCCGCTTGTCCCCGCCTGTCACCGCCCTTCCCACCTCCAGTCTGCGTTCCCCCCTCACTCCAGGCGTCCTCCCGGACCAGCGGTGCGGTGCCGCCAAAGGAGGAGGAGCTCCGGGCGGCGGTGGAGGTTTTGAGGGGCCACGGCCTGCATTCGGTCCTGGAGGAGTGGTTTGTAGAGGTGCTGCAGAACGACCTGCAGGCCAACATCTCCCTCGAGTTCTGGAATACCATCTCCCAGCGAGAGAACTATGCAGACGAGCCTCAGTGCCTTCTGCTTCTCCTTGACGCTTTCGGCCTGTTGGAGAGCCGGCTGGATCCCTACCTGCACAGCCTAGAGCTGCTGGAGAAGTGGACTCGCCTGGGCTTGCTGATGGGCGCAGGCGCTCAGGGGCTGCGGGAGAAAGTCCACACCACGTTGCGGGGCGTCCTGTTCTTTTCCACCCCCAGAACCTTTCAGGACATGATTCAGCGCCTCTACGGTCGCTTTCTGAGAGTGTACATGCAGAGTAAGCGGAAGGGGGAAGGGGGCACAGACCCGGAGCTGGAGGGAGAGTTGGACAGCAGGTATGCCCGGCGGCGGTACTTCCGGCTTCTTCAGAGCCCGCTGTGTGCGGGATGCGGCAGCGACAAACAGCACTGCTGGTGCCGCCAGGCCCTGGAGCGGTTCCACCAGCTCAGCCAGGCCCTGTGAGTACTCGCGCCTTGCGCCTCTTCTTGACTCAGTTACCGTCCCGGGTCCAGCGGGCCTCTTGAGCGAGCTGGTGAGCTGGCTGGGGGCGGGGCATGACAAAGGGAGGGTCCCTAGGATCTCTGTGCGGTGAACTTACACGTCCTGCGCTGGACACAGGTGTGTCTCTGCCACGCTCATTAGCCCCAGGCTTCCCACCTTACCTGCACTAAGATCCTACGTGATTCCAAATTCCCTGGGCCAGGTAGATTTCGGCTCTGCCTTGTGTAGGCTCTCCAGGAAAGGGATGGCATCTCTTCTCCCCTGTAGTTGCAAAAGTGGGCTTACTTTTTTTACTCTTTACAGCACAAGCTGGGGATTAGGCCAACGTGCTGCGCAAGCAGATTGCCTTTCCAGCCTTTTAAAGAGGAAAGGATTTTGTTGCTGTTAAAGCCAGGTTCTGACCTATGGGCCTTTTGTCCTTTGTGGTTGCTTATAATGATTTTGTCACATTGAGTGAAGCGCCAGCAGTGGTTAGGAAGGGAGTGGTCTTGTTGCTGGCAGGGGGAGGGAGGCCCTGTATGGCTTCTGCTGGGTTCATCCCAGATGAAAGATGCACAGAAATGTTCTTTCTCCTCTTTTCTTGAGCCCCTTTGCCGTTGTGGACCAGGGTCTGCACCAAAACGCCTAACTGGGGACTTCTGTACTCACGTGGTGTATTTAGCTGTTGTTTCAGAGCCGTGTTTAGGAGATGAGGCTTTGGCCCTGAGAGCCAAACCCAGTGCTCACATGACGAAGGCCAGTGTCTAACCCAGGCAGAGAGGCCAGCTGGGGAGGGCAGGGCTCTGTCCTCCCATCAACTTTTTCTTGAAGCCTTTGTTACTGAGGGCACTGGGTGTGGGGGAAAGGAGCGTGGTCTGCATGCTCCACGGGCAGGGCTGTCTTCCAGACACAGGCTCAGTCTGTTGGAGCGGGTCAGTGCCGAGGCTGTGACCACCACCCTGCACCAGGTGACCAGGGAGAGGATGGAGGACCGCTGCCGGGGCGAGTATGAGCGCTCCTTCTTGCGTGAGTTCCACAAGGTAAGGACAGCCCCTCAGGCCCTGTCCCTCGGGGGTTGTAGAAGAGGTTTCTGGCAAACCTGACCCCCTGGTTTTAGAAGCAGCGAAACTATGGAGACTTGGGTGAACTAGGACCTGGCTGGTGGTCAGAGCTGGCTGGGTGAAGGCTGGCCCTTCCCAGCCTTCCTTGGTGACAGTGAGAAAGAGCCTGCGACGTGTCGGTGAGGTCTGAGCAGAATCACTTGGCTGGAGGCAGTGCCAAGGTCTAGGGTGTCCCAGTGAGGGCTCTCGGGGCACCCATCCTGTTGGGGGCATGGTCTGGGGCTCTGTTCTGGACTCACCAGAGCTGTGAAGGTGCTGGGTCCAGCCGCAGGGGACTGTCCAGCCTGCTCCTATTTTTTGCCTATTCTCTTCCACCGTCTCCTGAGAATGCAGATTAGCTGTGATGGAGAATCCAAGCAAGTGTCCCTACAGCAGTGGTCTTGAGTGGGTGTGAGCCCAGAGGCCTGGCTGGGGTACCTGTGTTGTCCCCGCGTAGCAGGGCATCCAGATGTTCTCATCAGTGGCTGTATAGTTTGTGGGAGAACGTATGCATGCTGGGGTCCATGTGGCCACATTGTCTGTACACGCACGTGTGCTCGGAAGGGTCCTTACATCTGTCTGCTGTGGCTGGTCAGGTACATGGCCCACAGGGTGTGTCTGTCCACCGAGGCAGAGGTGAGCATTCTCTCCATGGCCTGCATCAGGGCCACTGTTGCCAGAGATAAGTCTGGGCACACTGATGGAAGGCCTGGGGTGCCCCCTTTGGGCCCATTATCCTGCTGATTTCGATGTGCTCCTACTCCAGAGCAGGCGGCCTTGGGGACTGCCCAGGGCTGTGTGGCTTCTCCTGGCCTCTTTCCACGTCAGGCTGGGGCTCAGCACCTTACCTGTGCTCTTCCAACAGTGGATCGAGAGGGTGGTGGGCTGGCTGGGCAAGGTATTCCTGCAGGATGGTCCAGCCAGGCCCGCGTCCCCTGAGGCTGGCAACACACTGCGTCGCTGGCGCTGCCACGTGCAGAGGTTCTTCTACCGAATCTACGCCAGCCTGCGCATCGAGGAGCTCTTCAGCATCATCCGAGGTTGGCCCCCTGCCCTCTGGAGTAGCCCACCTTCCCTGGGCCTTTGCCCTTCAGATCTGGCAGGCGGTGAGGGGCGCTTGGGCAGAGCGGGGGCCCGTCAGCGTGGGCTGCCCCCAGCTCAGTGTCTGGGTTAGGGCAGGTGTGGCAGGGCAGTGGACAGGGCTTCTGGGTGTCCACACTCATCCTCTCAGCCTCACGTCCCTGCTCTGTCCTTCTGCACCGTGGGGGGTGCGGGCACAGGAGGGCGCAAGGATGACCTGAAGCACCTAGCAGGTGTTTCTCGGGGTTACTGAGTGGAGGTGCGGCTGCTCAGCCTCTGGGCCCTGCCGACTGGTGTCCTTTGTTGCACGCACAGTGTGTGTGTGCAAGGGCTGGTGCTCTTCTGCAGACTTCCCGGACTCGCGGCCAGCCATCGAGGACCTCAAGTACTGTCTGGAGAGGACTGACCAGAGGCAGCAGCTGCTCCTGTCCCTCAAGGCTGCCCTGGAGACCCGCCTCCTCCATCCAGGTGCCAAAGCTGCTGCCTGAGAGTCCGGCCTCCCTGCCCCGGGGCCTGTGTAGGGCGTGGGTGTGTGCAGTCCTCAGGAGGGCCAGGGCACTCCACTTCATCCTCCCTTGAAGGGAGTCACGGGAAGTGAGGGGTGTGGCCTAGAGGTAGAGGTGATGGATGATCCTTTCAGAACAGACCACCTGGTGAGCGGGGGCTGGGATCTTGGAAAATTCTGGGGAAAGCACCCGAGAGTTGGGGGAGAAGGGGCCCGCGTCCTGCATGTCACACTGGTTTCCTGGGGAGTGCGGTCACAGTGGCGACCAGAAGCCCGCCTGGCCAGGGTGCAGCTGCTCGCTTGTGGAACCACCACTCCTGGGTGCTGTGGGGACTACCATCCTCCGTCCTGGCCGTAGGTGTGAACACGTGCGACATCATCACCCTCTACATATCCGCCATCAAGGCCCTGCGTGTACTAGACCCATCCATGGTCATCCTGGAGGTGGCCTGTGAGCCCATTCGCCGCTACCTGAGGTGAGCGCCGCGGGCAGGCCCCGGGGAGCGGATCCGACTTGGGGCCTAGTCTCCTGGCTCCATGCACACAGCCAAGCTCCCCTGGGTCCTCTTGGGCCACGTGGCCTGGCCCCAAGGCCAAGGCTCCTTCCTCTTGCTGGTGACCTGTTGCCCAGTGCGTGGACACTGGCCCCACCGTGCACCCCTGCCCTCTATGCCTTCCCCTCCTCCCAGCCCAGAGAGGCCCCCAGACCCTGGGCTCAGCGTCTCCTGCAACGAGGCCCAGGGACTGCCGGCTGGGCTCTCAGAGAACATGTTTGACCGGGTGCCCTGCCCATGGCACAACTGCCCAGAAACCCCTCGGAATGGTGGAGGCTCAGGGCTGGGGCTGGGGCTGTCCCGACTCACATCTGCTGCCTCTTGGTGGGAAGCGCCTGGTCTCGGTTCTGTCTTGTTTTTTGTTTTTTGTTTTAAGATTTTATTTATTTTGAGAGAGAGGGAGAGTGTGTGCACCAGCAGGGGAGATGGGGAGAGGGAGAAGCAGACCCACTGCTGAGCAGGGAGCCCAACGCAGGACTCGGTCCCAGGACCCTGGGATCATGACCTGAGCCGAAGGCAAATCCTTCACTGACTGAGCCCCCCAGGCACCTTGGTTTTGTCTTATTATTTCATTTCTTGGTGTTCCCAGAAAATGGTGGGTTTTTATTTTAGTTTTAGTATCATTTTTTTTTTTTTTTAAGATTTTATTTATTTATTTGACAGAGACACAGCAAGAGAGGGAACACAAGCAGGGGGAGTGGGAGAGGGAGAAGCAGGCTTCCCGCCAAGCAGGGAGCCCGACGCGGGGCTCGATCCCAGGACCCTGTGATCAGGACCTGAGCCGAAGGCAGATGCTTAACGACTGAGCCACCCAGGCGCCCCTCACATTGTCTTTTGAGAAGAGTCTGGTAGACTTACTTTAAGCATGTGGCCAAAAGGCACTGACTGCCATAGGTGAGGTGGGGTATGTGGGCTAGTGAGGCGAGCAGGGAGAGGTGCTGTGAGGGCCAGCAGTACCCACATTTGGCAGGACGCGGGAGGACACGGTGCGGCAGATTGTGGCTGGGCTGACGGGGGACTCAGACGGGACAGGGGACTTGGCTGTTGAGCTGTCCAAGACCGATCCGGCGAGTCTGGAGACGGGTCAGGACAGTGAGGATGACTCTGGCGAGCCCGAGGACTGGGTCCCCGACCCCGTGGATGCTGATCCAGGTCAGTGCCCGCCAGCCCTGCCAGGCTCCGCATTGTGGGGGAGGCCCCAGTAAGGTCGGTGCTCTGGCCTAGAGTTTGTCTCCACACGTGCCCCGAGGCTTGAGGGGGTCCGCTGTCCCCGCCCAACCCAGCCTGTTCCCCGAGCACTTCTGCTGCTTGAGTGGGCCCATGGTGGCCTGAGACCCCATCCCGGTTGCTAGAAGAGCAGGTTCGCAGGCAGCCTGGGCACCACCCAACCCGCCCCTACCCTGGGATCTGAGCCTGGGCCTCACGGCGTGGCAGGGTGGGCCCTGGCTGGATGCAGATGGTGCTTCCTCAGTGGCACCCTGCCCCTGTGCTGTGCAGGGAAGTCCAGCTCCAAGCGGCGCTCCTCGGACATCATCAGCCTGCTGGTCAGCATCTATGGCAGCAAGGATCTCTTCATCAACGAGTACCGCTCGTTGCTGGCTGACCGCCTCCTGCACCAGTTCAGCTTCAGTCCTGAGCGGTGAGGCTTGCGAGCGGCTGCTGGGCTGCTGAAGGAAGCTGCATCACTGATGCCAAGCAAGCACTGGCCTGTGCTCAGCCGTGGTCCCGGGGAGGCCTGGGCGGAGGCGGCCCAGGAGCTTGGGGAGCCGGGTGCCCGGGCACTCCCAGGCCTCCGCTGGGATGGAGCAGGCCCAGGGCCTGGGTGGCTGGAGCTGCACTTCCCAATTCTCCTCCTGGCCTGGGGGTGTCCTTGCATCAGTGGGGGGGGGGTGCCCGTGCAGCCTCTCTGGGTGGGGGCATGCCACACCCCCTCAGAGATGCCTCTTTCCAGGGAGATCCGCAACGTGGAGCTGCTGAAGCTGCGCTTTGGCGAGGCTCCGATGCACTTCTGTGAGGTCATGCTGAAGGTGGGTACCCAGGGCTCCCCGCCCACCTGGCCCAGCCTCACCTCCAGCGCAGTCCAGGGGCTTTTGCGACACCAAGCTCTTCCCCCCAGGACATGGCGGATTCCCGTCGCATCAATGCCAACATCCGTGAGGAGGACGAGAAGCGGCCCGCAGAGGAGCAGCCACCTTTTGGGGTCTATGCCGTCATCCTGTCCAGCGAGTTCTGGCCGCCCTTCAAGGACGAGAAGCTGGAGGTCCCCGAGGACATCAGGGAGGCCCTCGAGGTCTACTGCAAGAAGTACGAGAAGCTGAAGGTACCGTCCACACCTCCCTGTGTCAGGAACCAGGGGGCAGGCGACCCTTCCGCCCATGCTGTGCAACAAGCTGGCTGTGGCCCATCCCCACAGCCCTCTCCGGACCCCTCTGCCTCGGGGCGGGAGGGCGTGGCCCACGTTCTGCTCCGTTAGGAACCCATGCACATGTGCACGGGGGTGCTTCCCCACACTATACTAGGAGAGGGGCCGGGTGGCTCATGCCCCCCCACCCTTCTGGGCTTCCTCTTCCACTGTCTCTCCTCTGGTATCTCAGAACCAGGGGCTGGGGCGCCGGGCTTGTCCCAGGGAAAGTCAGGGAGCTGTGTCTGCTCGGTGGGTGTCTGCCTCCAGGAAATCTCCAGTCGCCCATGAGGCACTTGACTTCCAGGACCCTGCCCTGTCCCTGCCACTGCCCAGCTTGCTTCCCTAGAAGCTGCTTTCCCAGGCCTCAGGGCACTAGAGGACCAGGACTATGCTGTTTGCTGTTGGGGCCCTGACGGCCTAGGACTCGGGCAGGAGGAGAGAGAGGGGAGCGCTGCAGGACATGTGGGGTGGTCCGGAGCCCACCAGAGCCCGATGTGCTGAGTGCAGAGCCCACTCCCTCTGGGAGTGCAGGTGGCAGGTGTGGGCAGGTGGAGCCTGGTGTGGGCGGGGATTAACGGCACGAAGAACCCTTCCTTGCAGGGATGGCTCAGTGGAGACGTGTCTGGAGAGAGCGGGGAGCTAGGGTACCTGTCCTAGGTTTCTGGGGACTGGTGAAGCAGGTTCTGGGGCATTCGGTCTAATAAGTGAGTTGTGGGGCTTGAGGGGCTGCTGGGTTCCCGAGCAGAGGACGAGTCTGGTAGGTGCCTAGGGAGCAGAGCCTGAGCCCTGGGACCATCTGGAGCAGCTCCAGAGACGGGCCAGCAGCCAGGGCTTGAGGAGCCCTCAGGACGGAGCCCTGGGAGGGAGACCAGTTGGCTGGGGTATGGAGGAGTTGGTTGGGGGGGGGGCAGCAGAGCCAGGTAGTGGGAGGGACAGTGGGTTCTCCAGGTTTGCTGTTCTAGGCCAAGGAAGCTAGTTCTGGAGGGAGGAGGGCTCCCCTCCAGAGACAGGCAAGGGCAGGAGCAAGGCAAGGGGTTCTGGAGTGGGGAGGCAGAACAGGGGCGGGCCGTATTCAGGGGCAGCACCGCAAAGGCTGCGAGGGTCTGTGTGGCTCTCACTGGCTCCCGCTGGGCCATTTCACCACCCCGTGGTTTCTGCTCCTGACTGTGGTGAGGTGCTTGCTCTGGAGCCTGTCCGCGGGGCACCCCCACCTCTCCCTGGTTGAGGACATCTGTGTGCTCACTGCCTTCCCCCTGCCCCTTCTGGCTGCCTTGTTGGCATGCCACCACCGCCAGAAGAGACCCCACGACCTCCCACAGGGGTCTCGCCGTGGGTCCCGGGAAGGCTCAGGCCTGATGCACCTGCCGTGATGACCAAGGTTCAGCTGCTTTGTCTTAACTCCAGCTGGATCCTAGAGTGGCGGGGGCAGGCTCCAGGGCTGTGCTGGAGCTCAGGCCTGTGGCCATAGTGTCTCTGCCTGCCGCCAAGTGAACTCTGGGCCCGAGGATCATGCTGGACACGTGTGGGTGGCTGTGCAGCCCAGAGAGTAGCCTGTGCTTTCTGCTGCTGGGCCTCACATCTGCTGGTTGGAGTGGTGGCTGTAGGGTCACGGCCTCGGAGCCAGAGGGCCTGTCCGTGGCAGCTAAAAGTCCAAAATCGAGTGATCGGTCTAGGGCTGCACCCTCTCCAGAGCCTCCGGGGGACGACTCTCCTGCCTCTTCCAGCTTCTGGTGGCTCCAGGCATCGTGTAACTTGTGGCCACATCAGTCACCTTCTGCCTCTTTTGTCACGTGGCATTCTCCCTGTGTCTCTCTCTCTCCACTTTCTTGTTAGAGGACACCAGCCGTATTGGGTCAAGGCCCACTCTGTTCCAGAGTGAGCTCACTGGAACAAATTGAATGAGTGATGACCTGATTTCCAGATAAGCTTACGTCCTGAGTTACTGGGGGTAGGACTTTAGCATCTTTTTGAGGGACACAATTCCACCTGCAACAGTCCACCCTCCAGCCCCCCTGAAATTCATGTCCTTCCCACATGCAAAACACATTCAAGCAACATCCCCAGAAGTCTTAACCCTTCCAGCAATGACTCCAAGTTCACAGCAACCCCAAAGTTCAGCATCTAAGTAGCAGCTGAATTGGTGCAGCTCATTCTGGCCAGGGTTCCTCTCCGGCTACGAACCTGGGGGAACGGACAGGTAGTTGCTGCTTCCACAGTGTGTTTGTGGGAAGGTGTAGGGCAGACTCTGCATTCCAAGAGGAAGACTTCTGAAGGAAGGAAGGGGTCGCAGCCCCCAAGCAAGTTCGAAAGCCAGTGGAAGAACTTGTGTGACCTCATGGTTGTGTTCCCAGCTTGCCGGCCAGGCCTTCACACCACACCCCTGCGTGCAGAGCCAGGCTCTCCCGTGGCTCCCCCTCCCTCTCAGCGCAGGCTGTTGTAAAACTCTCTGGAGCCTTGTCCATTCCTACGCACCCCCTTCCTGGACAGCCCGTCTCCATCCCGGCTCTTCTGGGGCTGCCGGTGGGCTCCCACATCAGTGTAGGTCTCTGGTGCCCTTGGGGCTCTGTGTCGAGCACGCACGGAGCACCCCTGCGCGGTCCAGGCTCGCGTGCTGTCACGTGCCGCCCTCCCACACCTCCCTCAGTCCGGCTGCTCACACGGGCTCTGCCACCGCCTGGCGGGGTCGCACGTTCTCGTTTGACACCTCCCCAGCGTGGCCTTCCTGGCCACGTTCCCGACAGCTTTCCCTTCGGGACAGTGCAGCCATCATGAGCGTGCGGCTCGTACTCCCAGCCTCCGCCCCCCTCCGATTCCGTGGACTCGCACATTCCTGGGTATTCGCTACAGCGGCACCCACTTCGCGGGACCAAAATGTGTGCCTTTCTTGTGGCTGCCGGAACAAAGTGCCACAACGGGTCCTCAGAACAAGCTTTTCTTCTGTTCTGCAGGCAGTGTGGAGGCCAGGGTGTCAGCAGGGCGTGGGCTGGTCCTTCCTGCCCCCCGGCATCGGGGAGCGGGTTTGCAGGCCTTGCTTGGTGTCTCTTGGCTGTGGCTGCGTCCATGCAGTCTCTGCCTCTGTCCTCACCGCCCCCCCCGCCGAGGACGCTGACCGTGTTCCGTCAGGGCCCCCGGCACTCCACATGACCTCACCTTAACTGGCCCCACCTGCCATGACCCCGTCTCCAGCTCAGGTCACACTCTGGGGTCCTGGGGGTTAGGACGCGGACGTGTTTCTCAGAGGCCGCGGGGGTCTGTCAGTGCCCACTGACCGAGTTGGCTGAGCGGGTGGGAGCCAGAGCCCTGTCCTGTCCTCCTGCTGCTGCTGACGGCCCGGCGGGGGCAGGTCAGGGAGCCCTTCGCTCCCTGGTGGGGGCCGCGGGGCCGCCGGTGCTGACTCCGGCCCTCCCCAGGCCATGCGGACCCTCAGCTGGAAGCACACCCTGGGTCTGGTGACCATGGACGTGGAGCTGGCTGACCGCACCCTGTCTGTGGCGGTGACTCCCGTGCAGGCGGTGGTCCTGCTGTACTTCCAGGACCAAGGTGAGCCCACTGACCCCTTGCCAGCCGGCCCCAGCCATGCCCCCCCGGGCCAGCCCCCCTGGTCCTGCTGACCTCCAGGAAGCCGGGGGGGATGGGCAGGGGGCTTGGCCTCGCCCCATGTGCCCAGAGCTCGCGGCCGCTCCACACAGCCAGCTGGACCCTGGAGGAGCTGAGCAAGGTGGTGAAGATGCCCGTGGCTCTCCTGCGGCGGCGCATGTCCGTGTGGCTGCAGCAGGGCGTGCTGCGTGAGGAGCCTGCCGGCACCTTCTCTGTGGTGGAGGAGGAGCGGCCCCAGGACCGGGACAGCATGGTGCTCATCGACAGCGACGAGGAGAGCGACTCGGGCATGGCCTCGCAGGCGGACCAGAAGGAGGAGGAGCTGCTGGTGCGACTGTGCTGGGGGGCGGCGGCCTGGCTTGGCCTCTGGCGAGGTGGCAGCCCGGCGGGCGGTGGCCCGACTGCCGGCCTGCTCTCTGTCTCCCCAGCTTTTCTGGACGTACATCCAGGCCATGCTGACCAACCTGGAGAGCCTGTCACTGGAGCGCATCTACAGTATGCTGCGCATGTTTGTGGTGACCGGCCCCGCGCTGGCCGAGATTGACCTGCAGGAGCTGCAGGGCTTCCTGCAGAAGAAGGTGCGTGACCAGCAGCTCGTCTACTCGGCCGGCGTCTACCGCCTGCCCAAGAGCTGCAGCTGAGGCGCCCCACGGGGCCCTTCCCGCACCATCCACCCCACCCGCCCCCAGCCCCTGCCCAGCCCCCAGAGTGCAGAGTAAAGCGAATGGTTCTCTGTCCTTTCCCTGTCCTGGTGGCTTTGTGGCCCATCATGAGCTTGTGGGCCAGGTTGTCCCTCCAGCCCGACCTCTCCACCCCCACTCAGCAGGACCTGGCTCCCTGGGAGCAGGTGAGGGGAGACATGAGTGGCCGGGCCCAGTCCTGGCCTGCATACCTGTGTTTGAGCTCCAGACCCAGAGCCCTGGCACATGGGTGTCCCTAGGCCACACCAGCTGGGGAAGGCCCACCTCTGAGCCTGAAGCTCAGGCAGGAGCACACCGGAGGCCTCCAGCCCCAAGCCTCACTCTGGCCTTTGGAAGGAGCCGTTGGGTCACCCGCCCTCTTCCTGGCCTGAGGCCCCAGGGCTGTTGCTGGGACACGTGGACGCCACTGGGATGTGTGAGATGAGCAGGCAGCTGAGCGTCCCCTGATGGACCAAGAACTCCCCACGTCCGCAGCAGGAGGGGCTGGCTATTTGTGGCTCACAGTGAAGCTGGTTTCTGTGCCCTCAGGCACGTGGTCGGGAGCACGCTGGGGCCTCAGTGCTCAGAGTACAGTTGAAGAACCCTGTGAAACCAGTCTTCCCAGTGCAGCTGGGAGGCCAGCAGTGTCCAGAGCACACACAGGGTCCTGTGCAAGGGGTTTTGGGGGCCTGGCACTGCCCCAGCCCTGAGGTCCCAGGAGGCAGGGAAGGGTGTAGGCTCCACCCAGGCCGGTGATGGGAGCTCCCTCTAGCTGGTGGCGCTGTCCTCCCAGGCAACAGAGGCCCTTTGGAAAGAGCCTCCACTCCTGCTCCCACCTGCCCGGGGTGCCTTCCCAGGCCTGGAGCCATGCCTATTGCCCCTACACACTCTTGGGTCCCCCCGCCCCCAGCTGTCTTCCAGTGCCTACCCCCACTTCTCCACTTGGGCCTGTTGCTCAGGGCCCTGTGGCCAGCCCTGTTCTGGGACTTCCCTTTCTTACCCCAGAGTGTTCTGTTGGCCACGGGCTTGGAGGACAACGTGGTGGGAACAGGTGTGTAGCCGTAGCAGCTGACCCCTCCCTCTCCTGGACTCTGCCCACCACTGAGGCTGCTGAGCCGTGGTCACTAGAAGAGGGGCCTCCCGCTTTCCTCCGGGTTCTGGTGGGGGCCCAGGAGGAGGCTCTGACAGCCCACATTCCCTCCAGGAGGAAGGCCGTCTGGCACTAGGCTGAGTGTACCTTTGTCGTCCTAACCAGGGTGCAAACCTGCTAGACCGGCCTGGCAGGGGGCTGCGTCCGGTTCTGGACACGGCACTCCTGCTTCCCGTCCCTTCCGACTTGGTTTGTGGATGAATGTGGTAAAAAAGCTGTGTCTTGGGTCACAGCATTACTCATCAGGCCAGAAACCGCTGGCTGGTCCCTGAGGGCTCCCCTAGGAGGGGCCACCCCTGTCTGGAGTCAGGGAGGTCCCCAGCGAGCAGGGGTCAGCTGGGACCCCTCTGCACGCTTGCCCCTGGCGCCCTGCGGGGTCAGCTGTGCGGTGGGGCACTTCCTCCTGCTGCCTGGGTGGTTTGCTTGGCCGGGTCCTTAGGGGAGGAGGGAGGAGGCCTCAGGGTGGAGAGGCAGTGCAGGAGACCAGGGAGGAGGCTGAGGTTAACTCTAAAGATGCCATCCTGCAGGTGAGTCCCTCAGGCGGCGCTTGTCGGGTGGCAGGAAGATGCCCTAGGAAGCAGCCCTCAGAGGGTCAGCTGGGCTCCCACTTGAAGGACACCTAAGCTGGAGCCTCAGATGCTACCTGCAGCTGCTTCTGAGCCAGGCGCACCCGGAGGATGTGCTGGGGAGACCTGTGGGCAGTGCCCACCTCTCCTGGGGGGTTGAAGAACCCCTGGAGGTTCCTCCGGACCTGAGCATTGCTGGGGCGTGGGTGTGGGTGTGGGCGGGACCCTCCCCAGGACGGCCCGCGTGAGGGAGGGCAGTTGAGCACAGGTCCACGCCTTGCCCCCCCTTGGCCCCTGCTTGTCCCAGCCCTGGGGATCCTGAGAGAGGAACCCGGGCCTGTGCTGCGCGCTCTGGGCCCCCCGGGGTTTCCGGGCCACTGTCTCCACCTTCCCAGGGGCCTAGGCATGGGCTCCACCCCCTTCCCCACAAAGCACCGCCCCCCCAGGCCAGGGCAGCCCCATCCTTGCCTTGGCCTTGGGTCTGGCAGGGCACTCAGAAGTGGCTCCCAGGCCCCTCTCCACCCTACCTACCCCACCCCGGGGCTGCCTGCCCAGGGCTCCTCCACTCGGGCACCGAGCTCAAGCGAAGCTCCAGCCGAAGCCCTGCCCCCACCCGCTCTGCTTCAGGGCCCCACTGTGAGGTCAGCGCCTTCCGATGGATTCCGTGCGGAGGTGTGTGGTGGGGCTGGGGGCTGGACATGGCCGCCTGTCCCCAGCCTGACTCCTGCCTGGTCGGCAACCCCCTTGGCCTCCTATGTTTGTCCCTTTTGCTCATCCCTGCTGCAGGTGCCTCCTCCTGCCCCCGAACCCCGCCCCTGCGAGGGCCCCTCCCGTACCCTTCTGGTGGCCGCCAGGGAGAGGGGCGGCCCTGGGGGTCCTCCGCTGGCCGGTGACGAGGGCCCCTCGGCCGCACGGGCCCTGTCTCTGCAGCTGGGACGTACTGCGAGTGCAGCCTCGGCCTCAGCCGCGAGGCCCTCATTGCCCTGCTCGTGGTGCTGGCGGGCATAGGCGCCAGTTGCCTCTGCGGCCTGGTCATCGTGGCAGTCGGTGTCATGAGAGCCAAGAGGTGCATGAGCCCGGGGCTGGGGGGGCGGCTGGGGGCCGCAGGGCCGTGCTGGGGGACGGGGGGTTACCGGGAGCCGGGACGCCATTTCCCAGGCTGGGCTGTGGAGAGGCAGGCGGTGGGGGCGCGTCTGGGCTCCGTTGCTCCGGGACTCACACCTCCCCTTGTCCCTCCAGTGAGCCATGCCCCAGACACATGAGCAGCAGGTGAGTAACCTCGGGAAGCCCACAGGTGAGCCGCGCCCCTGCCTCCTGCCCCTGGGAGGTGCGGGGGGTCACAGATGGGTCATGAGCACTGGCCGGAGGCCCGGGCCCGCCCTCTCGAGGCCTGTGCTGGTGGCCAGCCAGCCTGACCCGGCCCCTGTCGTGCAGGTTGGTGGGGCACTACGGAGTCCAGGAAGATCGCATGGACCTGCACTCCGTGCAAGTGGAGTCCCATGTCATGGACCCCGACCTGGAGGTCTCCATGCTGCCGCCCCTGGACGAACAAGGCCTCCTGGCCATTCCCGTGGACCCTATGGCCCCAAACATGACTGTGGAGGGGGAGCTCCCTCTCAGCCCCCCAACCTGAGTAGGGCTGCAGGCAGCCTGGGGGAGGGGAATTAAACAGTATTCAGTGCTTCTGCCCTGTCCTCCCTGCAGGCTCATCCTCGAGCCGCGAGCCGCGGTGCAGCTGTGCCACGGGCTGGGGAGGGGTTTGTGTGCACCCAGGTCACCTCCTTGATCTTGGGTGGGGGGAGGAGGTACCCACTGTCCACCCTCCCGGGCAGGGAGCCACAGCCCTGGTACTTCCACCTCCTCTTGCCGAGGCCTCAGCCTGGTCCCTCCCCTCATCTTCCTGCTGCTGTGTCCCATGAAGTTGGCGGGGCGCCGGGGGCCCCTGTCCCCCCTACCCCCACCCCGGGAAACCCCAGGACAGGATGTGCGACTCTGATGACTCCAGAGGGAGCAGTGTTTGACAGGAGAACTTGGGCTGGTGTCTGTGCCCTACCCACACTGTCTCCTTGAGGTTCTAGGACAGTCCTTACAGGGCCAGGTGGGGCAGACATGACTGTCCCCTGCCTCGTACCCCCTCCACCCTCCAGTCTACCCCCTGGGCTCAGGCCCCCATCATGTGCTCCTGACCCCACCAATTATCCACTATGGGGATGGGACCATCCCTATATGGGGGGGCACTGTGTGTATGCTGGGGTCACTTTGCTGGGCAGGAGATGGGCAGAGACCGGGGAGAGCAGCAGGGATCACGGAGTCCCATTCCGTGCGTGGCATCGATGAGTTTGGTGGGTCTGGGTGTTGTCCAGCGCTCAGGCCTCCGCGGGGCGCAGGGTGGTAGGCACCTCGGGAGGAGGGGCGAGGCGTCTTGTCAGCGCCGCAGCTGGCCCAGAGCCAAGAGCAGCCCAGCTCCAGGACAGGTGGTTGGCAGTGCAGGATGCTGGCTGGCTGCCCAGCCCCCGCCCTAGGTGCGGGACTGGCCATGGAACAGGAACTGCCGGCACTCGGGCCGGAGATTTAGTATTTGTGCAAACGCGGTAGAGACGCACTGGCTCCGTGGACGCACGAGCAGCGGGCTCCTAGCGCTGCTCCATGAGGAGCCCCTCCTTTCTCTCGCGGCGGCCGCCGCCGATGTTGCTCCTGCTGCTGTCGCCGTGGCCACTCTGGGCCCAGTCGTCCACCGCGGCCACCTTCTCGGGAACCCCAGCCACCCCGGACTGCCCCGAGGCGTGCGAGTGCGCGCCGGGCGGCCTGGTCAACTGCTCGGGGCGCGCTCTGCCCGCCGTGCCCGCGGACCTGAGCCGGCGCGTGCGCGCGCTGCTGCTGGACCACAACCGCGTGCGCGCGCTGCCGCCCGGGGCCTTCGTGGGCGCTGGCACGCTGCTGCGCCTGGACCTGCGCGAGAACGGGCTGCGCTGGGTGCACGCGCGGGCCTTCTGGAGCTTGGGCGCGCTGCAGCGGCTCAACCTCAGCGACAACCAGCTGGAGGCGCTGGCGCCCCGCACCTTCTCGCCCCTGCGCGCGCTCCGCTCCCTCTCGCTGGCAGGCAATCGGCTGGCGCGCCTGGAACCCGCGGCGCTGGGCGCGCTCCCGCTGCTGCACGCGCTCAGCCTGCAGGACAACGAGCTGTCCGCGCTCGCGCCGGGCCTCCTGGCCCGCCTGCCCGCTCTCCACGCGCTGCACCTGCGCGGCAACCCCTGGACCTGCGGCTGCGCGCTGCGTCCGCTCTCCTCCTGGCTGCGCAGGCACCCGAGGCCGGCGCCAGGTGAGCCCTCCGGGCGAGGGTGGACGGGCCGGGACCCACGGCCACCGTCGCCTGACTCTGCACCTGTGTCCCGCAGAGACCGAGACGCTGCTCTGCGTGTTGCCAGGGCGCCAGACGCTCAGCCCCTTGACCGCCTTCCCGGACGCCGCCTTCAGCCACTGTCCGCAGCCACTCGCTCCGCGGGACCTGGCCGTGGTCTACGTGCTCAGGCCCATCTCGTTCCTCGCCAGCCTGGCCGCCTGCCTGGCGCTGGGCTCCGTGCTCACCGCCTGCCGCACGCACCGCCCTCAGCCGCCTGGGGAGACCGCGGGACTCTGGCCCTGGGAACCCCGCCGCCTCTGCTCAGGCCTGAGCGGGCCTTGGCTGTTCTCGAATCTTCCCCCGTCCCCTGCCCTTCTTCACAGTCCCTGCACGCGTCAACAAGCAACACAGACAGAAATTTTCGTGACATTCCTTTAGACATCACCACTGCACAAACCGGGTCAGGGGCAGTGCGCGCCGGGCCCCCAGGCGGAGGGGCAGCGCGCGGCTGCGCACGGGCCGCACGGGGAAGGCACGCGCTCGACACTGGAAGGGCTGGGCCTGTACAAGTTGGCGGGCAGGGCTGAGGACAGTCCGGAGCCAGCGCGTGGGGGAAAGCCTATCTTGGGCTGCAGGCTGGAGGAGGCAAACGGCTGGCTCAGCCCTCGCGGAGACCGGACGAAAGGGTCAGAGGCAGCGGAGAACCCCAGCGCACTCCTGGGAGGCAGCTGCCCACTGAGGGTCAGAGTCTGCCGTTGGGGACGGGCAGGGCCAGCTGGATGGATGGGGGTCAAGCCGAGAAGGGACGAGGGTAAGAAAAGGAGAGGGGTGGAGCCGAGGCTGCCAAGCCAAGAGCAGGCGCTGGAGGAGGGGGTGGCCCAGCTACTTGTGCCTCGCATCCCCACTGTGGCTCTGGTAGTGGCTGGGGAAGGCTGGGGCTTCAGTCTCTGCTCCAAGCCCCTCCGGGGCCAGGTTAGCCCCTCTCCCCCACTGCTTAGACACCCCAGGGCCCTGCCTCTGCCGGAGTGCCCTGCGGCCCTGCCCAGCCAGCTCAGCTCTGGCCTGTCCTCAGCCGCTCTGGTCCGAGCCTCGGTCCAGCAGGGGCTGCCCGCCCGGCAGCAGGGCGGACAGACAGATGGGAGGCCCAGGGTGGGCAGTCTTGGGCGGGTGGGCTTCCCTCAGGCCTTCCCGAGCAGCAGGACCCATCAGTGTCCTTGGCCGGGCTAACTGGGCAGGTGGGCGCCTCCGGGGGCCTCACACCACGGTGCTGACCGAGGGATCTGAGAGGTTGAGCGTGCCCGTGATATCAGTGGGATGGTACTGCTGCAAAATAGAAATACACAGACAAGGCAGCCCGTTAGCCCCCATGCTCGGGGGCACGCGCAGGGCCGGGACGGGTGGACCGGCCAGCCGGCCGACCGGCGGGCGGGCGGGCGCGGCCTGGGGGAGGCTGGGGGGGTGCTCCTCCCCCTGACCCCGTCGTGCTCCGGGACTCTGCGTGGGCCGGGCCGCTGTCCCGTCCATCTGTCTGTCTGTCTGCGGGGGAGGGGGGCAGAGGAGGGCGGGCAGGGCGTCTCAGCTCTCCCTATGACGGGCACACATCTGCAGCTGGCCCTCCTCCCTCTCAATAGCGCGTCGCGGCAGCACTGTGTCTTTTTGGTTTTGCAAAGCGCCGCGTCCACCCCCGGTGCTCTATAAATAAGAACCAACAATCAATACCCGCTGGCCCCGCTGGCTGCCAGGGACCCCAGCCCTGGGCGCCCAGTGCTGCCCTGGCCCAGACCGGCCACAGGACAGGGGCAGAGGATCTTAGCAGCCGGATCGACCCCACCCCTCCCAACAGAGCCCCCCACCCAGGCCTCCCTCCAAGCAGGCGCCCAGCCCGAAACAGGATGGGAACTAGACTGCCCTCCCCCGCCCAGACCCTCCAGCTGGCAGCATCCCAGTCACCCCTACAGGGCAGGGCCAGCCCCAGATGCCACATGGTGTCAGGGCTGCCCTGGGAGATGGTCCCTGGTGCCTACAGAGGCTCGGGTAAAGAGTCTATTGGGATTGTGTCCCCAGAAAGGCACCTCGAAGGTCTCTGAGTTGCACCTGGACCAGCTAAGGAGCGTGCAGCTTTTCTTTGGGTAGGGGTATTATTGGGTGGGGGGGGATCAGGGACACCCTCACAAAGCAGCCTATCACCTGTGTAACTTTTGTGCTCCTCCCTAAAAGTGTCGTCTACAAGGATAACCTCTCCCCAGGCCTTCCCCACCACCTCTCCTCTCTGGTCTTGGATCTGTTCCTGAACCCCTTGGCAGGGCCCCTGGCTCAGCCCACTTTCTCGGGCCTGTGCTCCCAGCTCCCAGTCCCTCACTCTTCACCTACCCTCCCAGTGCCAAGCCCCTCCTGGGAAGCAGAGCAGCCAGGCCACATGGGCCCCTCTGGGGGCACCCTGATGGCTTCACCCTGGCCTCAGATCATTCTGTGCCAAGCTCTGTCCATGTCCTGGAGATCTGCCTCCTTTCCAGTGCGCTCTGTGTGTGTGTGGGGGGGGGGCGGTGTGCAAATTCCTGTTTCCACCTTGGAGCATAAGCCCCTGCAGGATGGAAGCCAAGCTGGCCCCTGGACGGCAGGGAGGCCAAGGACAGTGCTAACTCTGGGTTGCCCCCTCCCCACCTTGGACCGGGGTGCCCCTAGCAAGGCTGGTCCATTTGAAGGGCTTTTATCCCAAGTGTGCATGCATGTGGTGTGGTGACAAGCTGCCCAGGGTAGGAGGCCCTGCTCTGACGCCCTGTGGGGAAGCGCTGGAGGGTCGGGAGCTGAGGCGCTGCCCTCCTCCCTCAAGGCCTCTCCTTCCTGCGCCTCTGTCTGGGAGCCTCAGTGACTCCGGCTCTGCCTGGGGTGGGCTCCACCCCTCTGGGGCCACCCAGTCCCCTGTGGCGGTCCCCTGTGGCTGGGGGCCTGTCCCAGTTCCAGGCCCCGGCCGTCCACCCAGATGGAGCCAGGCCCGGCCCCCAGCCCCGGCCCACACAGAGACCACATGGAGGGGATGCAACAGGCATGGCTCTGGTGAGACGCGTGACACAGGTGTCTGGGTGGCGGGGCTGGCGGCCAGACAGATGGGCGGATGGGACACCACAGCCACCCCCACGGATGTCGCGAGGGGGAGCGAGGGCAGTGGGCTCCTCTGGGAGAGGCTGGAGGAACGGATGTGACAGAGGTGGCGTGGCCTCCACAGGTGAGGAGTCCAGGACAGACCGGCTCTGGTCTCCCAGGGGCCCTGGGCTCAGAGGCTGACTGGCTGACCAACGACATGACACAGCTTCAAGATGGCGCATGGCGTCATGGCATATGGGGGGCAGACCAACGCAGAGACACATGGGGAAAGAGGACCCAGTGAGGGCCGTGGGAGAAAGGACCGAGAAAGGTCTAGAGAGAGAGTGAAGACCTCGTGTGCTGGGCAAATAGAGATGAGGGCAGAAGGGCCACAGCGGTCAGAGGTGGGGGTGGATGGGATGGTGAGGGAGAGGGGGAGGGCACGCCTGAGGCACGGGACACAGACACGGGGGCGGGGCGAGATCAGAGTCGGAGACGTGGGACTGGGCGTTCTTCCCCTTACCGTGTCTTTGGAGGACCTACGTCTCTTGAAGCTGGAAGCCAAGGTGGAGGTGATAGCCCTAAATGTGGCTTTCTTTTTAGGGTCGGGCTCTGCTCTACCACTCTTTCTATCCTAAAATGAATATGTATAAGTGATTAGACAGCTAAGGGCGGCGGCCACACCTGCCCTCGCCTGCTCCTCGGGGGCTGCTGCCCAGCCTGGCCGGCCACTCAGGCCCTCGCTCCTGCCTGCCTCGCTGTGCTGGACAGACGGACCAGCAGCTGGACGTATGCAAGCAGCCCCTGCTCCTGTACCCGTCTTGGGCCTGACCTTGCTTGTGCTGGGGTGGGGCTTGGGGGGTCCCGTCCGGCCCTCTTCCTGGGAGGTCAGCCTGGCTCCCTGGCTCCTGGGTGACCCTGGATTACAGGTGTCCCAAGGAGGAGGGTCCCCCAAGCCCTGGAGGAGTTGCCCCTCGGGCCCTGCCAGCCATTCTGTCCCCTGAGGGGGACGCCAAGATTCAGGAAGGGGCTGAGGGGCCAAAGGCAGGCGGCAAGATGAATTGGAGAGATAGATGGAGGTGGCTTCCAGACCCTGGCCTGGGGTCTGGTGGCCAGGATGGCCCTGTGCCAGCCAGTGAGAGCAGTGACCGGGTCCCAAGAACAAGAATAGGCAGATGAGAGGTGTGGGGGCTCCAGCAACCTGTCCCCCCATGGCCCTCCCTCTCTGGACACCAACTTCATCCCCGGACCCAGGCTCTGGGGAGGCACCCAGAGAAAGAGAAGAGATGAAGGAAGCCAGAACTGGGCCGTGGGGCATGAGCCCACGGGCCTGCACAGGCCCCACTGCCTGCCCTATGCCAGGTGGGCAGCCTGTTTCCTGCTGGCAGCGAGTTCCCACAGACACGGCCTGGGGTGCCAAGCAGGGCCAGCTGGCCCGATTCAAGGTGGAGTTATGGAGCAGAGGACAGAGCAGGGCAGCAGGGAAGGGGGTCCCTGGCGGGTGCCGAGGAGAGGCATGGGCGGCGAGGGCAGAATATGTCTTGGACTCACGTGCTACACCCAGGTGGGTCCCTGTCTTACCCTGCCTCAGTTTGCCTTCCTATGGAATGGGCGCCGGCGGGCGACTCTGGAGACAGAGGGGCCAGGCGGAGGCTTGGAGCCGGGCTTTGCAGGGGGCAGCCACCTGCAGGTGGCCCCCCAGCAACGCTGCCCCTGGTTGGGGCTCCTAGCTCCAGTCCTGCCCACATGGGCTCCTGGGAGCCTGAGCCGGTGCTTCGGCCTGCGGGAATGGAGGAGGGCCGGGGCCAGGCCGGGCCGTGGGCACCAGGCCTCGGAGGCTGGCCTGTCCTACCTGCAGGTTCTTTCTCCACACGTTCACGGCTGCAAACGCTAGCTGCATCTGCTTCCGGCGAGCGTCCTTGTGTCGCTTGTAGGCGATCTCAATGAAGATCAGGAAGATCCCGGCCACGATGCCCCCAGCCACCAGCATGAAGACCCCTGTGGGCCAGGACCCAGCACCTCAGCTGTCGGCTGGCCAGTCTGCAGGCCCCTCGGAGAACCCCACCGGTGTCAGCAGGGGCGTTGAGGGAAACGGGGAGACCTACCTGCCATGTTCTCAAAGGTGAGGGTAGCAGGGGCGTTGCTGCGAGAGTCACACTCCTGGTACCGCACCCACGTCTTGTCCAGATCTTCCATGAAGCCGTTCTCATGGGACCTGGGAGGGAGCGTCCTGGAGTGGGTGGGGCCCCGGGGTGGGGCCTGGGCCGTTGGGGGAGGCGGGGTCTGTGTGCCTAGGGGAGGGGTCTGGCTCTGGGGAGGGGTCGGCCTCTGGTGGGAGCCTCTTGGAGAGGGATGGAGGGCAGTAGGCAGCGGGTGAGGCAGACTCACTTGAGGATGGACAGGGAGACGTTCTGCTTCCAGGGGCTGTCCTTGCGCATGCCGATGCCAAAGCCCGAGCGGAAGAACAGCTCGCCAGTGGTCACTAGGTCGCATTTCTGCGAGGCCTCGAACTCCAGCACCGCCGAATCCCAGATGAAGGCATGAAGCTTGCTGTGGGCAGGGGCAGGGGTCACAGGCGCCCTGCACAACCAGGCTGCCCGCAGTCTGCACCTCCTGCCCACCTGGAAACCTTACCTCTGTCTCCATCCCACGGTTCCCATCCAGCCTGGACACTCTCACTTTTCCTGTAGGGGTGGATGCCCCTCCCTGCCTATCCCCCCTCACTTG